GTTGGTATACATGCATGTCCCCATAGAGCAAACATGTTGATTCACGTGGCGTGCGTGACGATCTATGCATTTCCCAGACAGGTGCTCGGTTGGAACGAAGAGTCGAACGAGCTTAGGGCTCGGGATGTGAGATTGGGGCGCCTTAGTGCCGAATTTTGTCATGCCTCACGCAAAGCGTGAACTCTTCGATTCCTTGAGGTGAACCTCGACGTGATGTGGTCCTTCTTCTGGTCGGGGATGTGGCAGGTACGCGCGTTGTCTGGGCAGCCGGCTGGATGCAGATGTGTGTTGCTAGAACCTGGAGCCCGGAAAAGCCGTGCGAGCCGTTGTAAGGCCATGTTTGCCCAGGCGGATTATCAAAGGACTTTCCGTTGAAAGGAGGAGCTCCTGCATGGATGTGTGTGATTGCCTCTTCTGCCAGATAGATGAGTCTGCGAATGTGAGAAGGCGATGCCCAGAAAGTCAGAAAGTTAGGGTGTGGTTTTGCAAGCATGAGCTCGTTGAACATGTTGTGCCCCCTTGAAATGAATGAGGATGTAGACTGGAAAAGGGTGATTTCAGGGCACCTTTATTTTAACACCAATCCCCAATGTTTTGATTCACAAGGGATGGTCATTGCTTGGCAAAAAATCACGCTCGCAAATCCGACGACTGACAAGCTGAGGGCTTTTTTCCAAGAGACTCACCGCCAGCGCTGCCCAGGGGCCTCTAAGAGGTGTCATTTGTTCAGGGCTCCGAAAAAAAACGATCTCCATTTTGCCACCATTTGAAACATGTTCAACACCAAAATCAAGAAATGGACACCATTTACAAGTTGCAAGGTTCAGGTGTTCCTATTGCATCCGGACTTTCTGTTGGACAGTCATGGCTCATTTTCGGGTCACTGGACATGCGCTCGACAGCAGGTGCTGTGGGGGGTGCTGCTGTATCCGCTGAACTGGGTGCCTTGGCCCACTCCCACGGGCCACAACGAGGCGACCCCGGCCCACATGGGCCAGGACCGGCGTGAGCTGCATCGGATCGGGTCGGTCGGTCGGGCAGAGGGAGCCCGATTTTTTTCTGCTAGGCCTTCCCCCGTGTTTTTCTAGCAAGCCCTCAAGGCTATCGAAAAGAATCAGAGCCTGTGTTTATTGAATGGAGAAAGGAGAAGGAAGAAAGAGTTGACCATCGAATGAGAAATGTAGAACTGTACGTTTCATCATGGCACCCTTTCCCGCCCGCAAATGCCAGGATCACGGTGCTGCCATATGAGAAGAGCAATGCCTGAACACGCAAGTCTGGATGTTTGCTTTGGGGATGTTTGCTTTGGTGGAGTCACTTACCTTCACTGCAAGCTGCAAGACTCATTTGATTCGGGCTGGTCGCTTTTTTGCGGCCAGAGTAATAGATGCAATAAGTGTTTTTTTCTAAAATTATTATCTACCCCCAAAATCAAAAGGTGCACTTAATACGCTCTAATACCAGGGACTACATCCGGGAAACAAATACTAGTTGTTGAACACTTAACAGTGGAACCGCCCCCCGGCCCCGCCAGAAAGTAGTTCCCAGGTCTCTCTTGTTGTCCAATACTTCTTTCTTCTGCAATTTCTGGACATCATATACCCATCCCCCAAACCTTCCCGTTTCCTTATGTACATGTCCTTGAAGCAAAAGTGCTCAGCCGACAAATTTCCACCCAAATACTCAAGAATAGTGATGAGAAAGGGGTATCCACTTGTGCAAACTTTTTCCTGGCTGGAAAACACAACTTCTACATCAATACTAAAGCAATTCTAAACAAAGCTGGGCCAGCTCAAAGGAACCACTAGGCAGAGAGGACCGAAGACAATCGAAGCAATGCTACGCCACTTGGAAACCAATACTAACCAATAAGACGGTGCTAAAGCAGCACAAAGTACTACTAAACCAAACCTAAAGCAATACTAAACCAATCTTCAGCAGTACTAGGCCAGTACTAGACTTGAGAAATCCCGATCTGACCCCCTGAAAAATAGTTTTCCCATTGTTTTGCTCCACCGGTGCCCCGAGATTTGGATTTTGGGGGTGGGGGGGGCTGGCAACCAGTCGCATGGATCCCATCGCAGGACTTGAAGGACTCATGGACCTGCTGCTTGGCTTCAGCGGCTTGGGGTCGCGCTCAGATTACTTCATCGGAAAGGAAAGCGAAGTCGAAGAGTTGAAGCGGAGTGGCCTAAGAAAATCAGAGCTTCGGATTGAATGACCTCAGTGCGAAGAACATGCAACACTTCAGGATCGAAAGATATCGAAAGAAAGAAACACAGTCGGTCACCTTGAGGTTCCCAGTGGTGAGGGGAATTCTTCCTTGAGCCAGAACACATCTCCCAATCCACTTGGTGAGCACTCCACGGATTTTGGGGTGGCCCCTTAGAGAGGTCTCAAACAAATTGTCCAGTCTCTGGTTGTTTTTGTGGGTTGCCCTTCAAAAACCAAAGCCCACAAACTCGCCCGAGCGATCCCACACCCATGCCAAAAAAAGAAGCACAGCGCCGGAGAAAGGGACGCCGAAGCGGACGCCGCTCGAACGACGAGGCTTCATGGGCACGAACCCGAAGCCCAGCATCACCACCTGCGACTCGGAGCCGGCCTACCTCTGGTTCGCCGCGCGCCCTTGGCGGAGAACAGCGCGATGGCTATGGGTCGGGTGGTTTTTTGTCGGGCGCACAAAAATTGGAGCGAGCCAGACCTCCAAGTGAACTCGTGAGGTGTTAGAACCACACACACACACAATTGCAATTTGCTGAAATGAATATGTTTCGTTTTCCCGTGTTGGTTTCGAAGGGAATCTATTTCACTTGATATTTTTCCAGGGGGCTTAAGCAAATGAAAGAGAGGACAGGGAAACTTGTGTAATTCCCTTCCCTATTTTTGTTGGCTGGACAAGGGAAACTAAGGGAAGCGAGCTAGTGGTTATTTTTTGGGAGGTCCACCATTTTACGACAATTCCGGATCCAGAAAAAGTCCGAACCCAGCAACACCCAAAGCCTTTCCCCCTCGCAGGCGTGGTAGAGTCTGCCTATTTTTGTGGTGAGCTCACTGCGGGGCGGGGGGTTAGAGCTCACCGCGTAAGTAGGATCCCTTCAATTTGAAATGCTCAGCTGCCCAAACTGAATCGACCTGTAATGACCTTTTGGTTCCTCACTCGTGTTTCATTTTCAGCCAAGGTTCCAAAAGGTTAACCCCTTCATTTTCAGGTCCTTGGGGGAAGCAATATTATTTTGAGAGTTGCAGATAGACTGGTGACCCATTTTCGCGACCAGCCCTGGCAACCCCCCTCTTCATCACAGGTGTTGCTTTTCGCATCCCGTTATCAAACTTGTTTTTGGCTCACAGGGGGTGGCAACAGGACTGGTGTCCGTTTGGTTGCGCATAGTTGGGTTCCACCGGTGCCATCCATTTCCGAGGACCCTTTGGGTGATTTTAGCAGCCCTCCCCCAGCCTCTAAAGGTAGCACAGCATGAGGTTCCACCTAAGATACCCTAAAATGCTGCGTGTAAATACAAAGAATGGTGTCCCATGGTTTGAAAGTGGTGCAGGATTTCGGCCACCCACCGTAATTTGCTTCTGGTATTATTGGCCATTTGCAGAGCCAGCCTTGTGGTAGAGAAGGCAAACTATCATGTTTCTTGGCTGACAATACAACACCTGTTTGGGCACAAATAACAACTGGTGTACGCCCGGCGCAAGTCGACGCTAGCATGCCCTCATGCCCTCCAGACAGTTTGGACTCACGTTATTCCAAAAATGGACTTTCCAGCTCCAGCTCCAATAGAGAAGCTTTGTGTCACGCTTGGCCAACTGCAGCATTGGCCCTGCATTTTTTCATGGAGGTGCTTATGGCATATCAACGTGTTTATCGCCCGATGTGTGGCGTCAAGAGCAATCAGCATGAATAATGTATACATGTACACGTAACGTATATACATACACCTACATACATACACAGGCATACATGTATACGTACATAGATAGATTGATAAGATACATGTAGAAAGGGTCGCCAGTGTGGATACTATCTTCTGCTTCGCGAGCCTTAACTTGGGCGTAGGGGTTTCCCTTTGCCCTGCCTTCGGCCCTTCGGCTTGCCTTTAGCCATCAGTCAGGGGATTTAAGGCAAAAGCAGCCCAAGCTGTCAAAGCTAGATACCCTTCCACCCATTTCTGAGATGAATTTGTTGATCTGATTCCTGAGGTCCTGGATGTTGAACCATTTCATTCCTGAGGTCCATGTCGGCCCATTTCAAGCAGCGTCCCCCTGTACCACCTATTTTCTGACTTGACACGGCTCATTTCAAGAGACCAGCTTATCAGCGCTCAGCTTGATTGCTACGACTTTCTCACTTGCTCGAAAGCTTTAGGGTTATCCCTATTGAACCCACAAGTAAAACACCGTTTGTGCCGCGTTTTTGTTAAGCAGCCTAGGGAAAGCAAGGTTGGGTTTTGCGTGTTGAACATACCAAAAAGCGGCAATTGTCACTCTTGCCGAGCGAAAGCTCATGGGTCCTTTCCACATTGACCAAAACCCACGAAAAAAAAGCGGCCCATCGTTTTGTTCACCTTTTTTGGGTCTGAGGTACCTGCTCTTCAACGTCTTCTTCAACTTGTTCTTCCTGTGGCTGATCAAGCGCTTGTCGGGCACCTGGGCCTCCATCGGCTCCATCCTCTGCGGGAACCTCTGCGGCTTCTTCAGCCAGTACGAGATCTTCGCGGGGAAGAGCGCGGCGGCGGCCCGGCGATCGACGGATCGGCTCGGATCGGCGCGGAGCCGCGGACCCGTGGATCGATTTGCGGGGAAGAGCGAGAGCGTTTTAAAGCCGACGACGACGGCTACAAACGCGCGGAAAGGGACGGCCCAGTTCGTGTTTTTTTGAGGGAAGAAGCCCAGGAGTTGGTCAAGGTGACGTTGTTTTTGACATTGTTTTGAGGGTATCCCGTTGGGTTTAAAAGGGAAGCCAGCAGGAAAAGCAAAATCCTTTTTTTGGGGAGGGTCTCCCAAAAACTGACACACCCAAGCAATTTGTAGGGGAACCCTCGATTGATAAGAGGTTGAAACGAAGACTGGGGAAGGGGCTCATTCTGCTGCATCCTGATAGGTTTGAGAGTTTGGATGATGCTTGTCAGGGCAAGGCTTGTCCGGACATGAGCCAGAGGCTGTTTCTTCTTGGCTTGATGCTTTGTGTAGGATTGGAGGATTTGACTCAGCCGTGGCCGGTGCATTGAGCAAGAGGGCCAAGGGTATGCATGTGAAAGGAGCCGTTTTGAGCGGTCCTTGTTTCAACATACCCTCACGTCTTGAGAGACCCAGGATATTCGTGTAGGTATCTTGAATCTTGTTAGCGCAGAGGTGTTTAATGTCCTCGCTGAGGAATTTCCGGTTGGCCCTGGACCAAGTAGGTTACCCCGTAGAAAGTGAGTCGGGCGTGGCCGGACTTGTTGCATTTGTTACATTAAAGGGGCGTTCATGGGGTTTCTTATTGATGACTTGAGCATCTTGGATGGTGGAATGCCTGCGGTTGCTACTCTCTCTGATTCTGCATGCTGTTGATAAAGTATCTTCAGACTTTGTGCATTGCCTAGATTGGAGGAAGCGGCACGTTGACATGTTTGCACGCTACAGCCGCGCAAGTAGCCAGCCACATGGCTTTGGTTTTTTGATGTTGTATTCAAGAAGCTGCTGACTGCTGCGCTGCTGCTGAACCCGGGATAGGAACAGCTAATTGAAATGGTTGCCTTTGTGCTTAGGTAGTTTTCGGCATTGCCGAGCTTCCTGTATGATGAACTGTGCTTTCACTTGTACGAGAATCATTGCAATTAGCTTCCCATAGGCTCAAACGAGGTTCTTGCTTTGGCAGGAGCCTGGCAGAAGCGCCCGGCCTTTGAACTTAGACGTGCTCCTTCTAGAATCATCAACTCCTTCTAGAATCATCATGTGGCTCCGCGCAGCCAAGCCGTGCCGAAGAATAAAACCAACGGTTGAATTCCGTGGTCCTCAAAGGATCAGGCCCGCCCAGTTGTTCTTTGACACCTCTGCCTTGTTCGCCCCTTTTTCTGTAACGTCTTTCTTGCAGAGCACGGCCGACATGCAGAATTTGGAGTATCACAGGGCACGCGCAAAATGTTGCTAGGGCATGTGTAGAAGTTGCAGCGCCTCACTACTGCACATGGGGGATTGCATGTACTTGGATGTTACTGTGTGCGCGTCAATCACTCCCTACAGATTAACATGGCACCTAAAGACGGGCTTTCAAAATTCAGGCAGCAAGCTACTCTAAAAATGTTGGCGTGGGTTGCGTGTTGAATTTGGAGGCGTGCTAAGGGGTCCCCAGCCAACCGAAAGCGTTTCGCGCCTATTCGTGTCCGTGCTGGCTGTATGTTGGCACCCTTGGCCGGGTTCAAAGAGTTCAGGGTTCATGGCTCTAGGTTGTTTCAACAGGAATAGCTTAAAGGAAATATTCCAAGACAGTTCTATCAGGACATCACTGGATCAAGTCCAAAAATTATCGTCCAAGCCGGGCCGGGTGCCTTTGGCGGGGGGATGGCTACGAGGCTCTGACTATGGAGCAGTGGATGGCACTGGTCTTATCCTCGCATCTTGGCCGAAGACGGGACAGCTCGCGAAAACGCGAAACACGGCTCGGGGCTCGACCAAACGCCAAAAAGGGCCCCAAAGGATTGGTGCGGACCATTTGACGGGAAAGCAAGCTCGGTCAACGCCCTGGCACAAAGCGTGCTCTCAACTGGGTGTGTTCCTTTCCCTGCCTCCGACGGAATAGAAGGCATGACGCTTTTTGATCATTTGACAGAGCTGCTTCGAGCGATGGCGAGAAAGGGGCTATAAAAACGGGATGCCCAGTTGACATCAAAGAGATTGAGCTACACAGAAGAAGAAAGAGGAGCGGACCAGACGGAATGGGACAGAGCAGGACAGGTCAGCCACAACAGCAACATTTTGCCACATAACGGAGGCGTGTACCCAAAGGAATGACGCCATAAGACTGCACGGGGTTGGAGCATGAGCGCGAATCCAGGATTGCAATGTGGGTCTACAACATTGAGGATGAGACAGACATCAATGGTGCGGCACTCAGTGCGCATGCTGATTCGAATCTGCCAGTGTTATGTGTGTGCAAATGTGGGATCAGACATGGGCGGCTTCTTTTAGCTGCCCTGTACAACAAAACCAAGAGGGCAGGCTCACAAACTGCACCCGTGGAGGCGAACTTCAGGAGAGGTACGATTGGAGTCAACTCTGGCGCCCATTGTGTTTTGCTGGCCATACTCTCAAAGCTCCCTATCTTCAGGTAAATTCGATTCAGACCCGGGTGGAAATGATTTTGCGTGCTCTTTGTGTATGTGGTTTAGAACTATCTCCGGTTTCTGGCAGACCTACTCCAGCTACAAATCCCTGCCCCCCTAGTAACAAGCGCAAAACATTTCGTAAGAAATCTCCCAACACTACTAAGTAGTTAGAGATTTGTAAATGCAACACCAATTCTAAACCAATCTCCGCTGCCCAACTCCAGTCGTATTAGGGACACTTTGGAACCAGTTCTAAACCGGTAAGCCCAGCACAAGTCCAAAAATGACAATGTTAGCATCCCTTGCTCGGAAATTGCCATGTACGATTTTTGGGCCCCGAGGGGCGGGTTTTTTAGGGGAATGTGATTCGTGCTGGAAGCGCTTCCAAAGCCAACACCACGCATGTTTCTGGGAAGGCGGACGTGGGTCTGCTTGTCTCCACATGTGGGCACCCCTAGCATGGATGGAATTTGATGTTTCGGGGTGCCAAATCCAAAAGGAAACCGAAAGCGGATGGGTATTTTTGATTTGTCCAGACCTTCAGATAGAACCCAGTTTCTCGTTACCCCCCAACAAATGTGTTTTAGACAAAACACAACAACAAAAAAAAAGGAAAATCACCCCCGGAAATCGAGACAAGGCTGGTGTCTTAAAATTGCCGAAGCCAACAAAAGGGGAACACAAAAACTCCTTTCCCTCAGGGCTCCTTAAAAGATGCATTTTGCAACCATTTGAATCATGTTGTTTTTTTTTCCACAAAAATAAAGGGATACCTCCATGTACAAGGCAATGCTCAGGTGTAAAATGTAAGGATCCCTGCTAAAATAAACGATGCAATAGCATGCAACATGCTCCAAGAGAGTCAAACCACGACTTGGTAAGCGACTTGAGGCAAATCCGTGTACGGCGAGAAGGAGCGAGGGGACCACCGCTACGACTCCGCGGGGCCTTTGGGCTTGGAGCCGGACGCGGACGAGTACGCCTCAGACGACGAGCCCACGGCGCAGGCGCGGCTGAGTGGGAGCTGAGGTGCGGCAGAGGTTGTTTTTTCTTTGTAAAAAGTGCCCTTTTTGGTGGGTGTCAAAGGGAAACATCGGGAAACCAAAAGGAGAACCGAGGCCATTTTGGGTTTTTGCCTTGAAAAGAAGAGATACCCAAAAATGTGGCGTTTCAGGGACAATTTATCATTACAAATCCCATACGTGTCTGCCTCAGAGTTTGTAGGTGCGATGTTTGCCTTTGGAGACGATGACAGCTGCAGCGGGTCACGTAACCCTCCAAGCGACTTGAGCAAGGATTGCAGGAGACTGCCTTCAGTCATTCTATATTGCACTTTTGGTTGCCACTTTGTCAATGTATCCTTGGCACTCAAACCTTCGCCCTACATGACTTCACATGCAAAGCTTTCTCACTGGGCTGCCATCAAGCAATCAGGGGGTCCATCGCATTCAAATTTCAAGTTCATGGAGACTGGCCAGCAAGCGTGGCAAGAATGTTTGTTGTACCATGTTTGTGGCTGGCCCCAGGACAACAGATTTGTGTTCGCATTCAGGATGCTGCTTGTGCGCGTGCAGAACTTGATACGCGGAGCTTCGGTGGAACAAGTAGAGCGACTGACATGTTCATTCCGTGCAACTACCCTGGCACCAAGTCAAGGTGCTGGTAGTGTGGAAACGTATCTCTTGTTTTCTGGGTGGATTGCCCCCCCAAAAAAAAACGTGTTTTTTTTGTTCCAACAAGTATGAAGTCCAAAATAAAGTCCAAGAACTCCGAGAGTCCGATCTCAATCCGGTTCGCTGCGCTCAACAGGACCACACCGTCATGTGAGGGTGCACCCAGTTCACTCGCCGGAGATGGAATTGCATTGCTGGTGCCAACGAGGCAAAGCGCTCGCGCTGAACAAGGCCAGTTCCAGAGTATTGAGTGCTTACAATTCGGTTTTGATCATCTGAATCCTGGCCAATGTACCTTCAAAGCTGCGCCTTGCAGTTGACATGGGAGCGGTGTTTTGGCCGTTTTGGACCAACCTCTTCCATATGTTTTCCAGACTGTTGCTCATGCCAACGTTCTGGTTCAGCTCAAAGCAGGAATCCTTCTGCAACGAACTGGTGAAGCGAAGCCAGGCCCGGCTTTGCTTTGTCTAAGCCTTAAAGCCTCCATGACCGTCCCCTGGACCATTGTTTGGTAGCAGCATAAATTTGACGTGAAGATTAACCTGCCGCACGCCTCATCGCTGAGTTCAAGCCATATTTCCGGATTTGAAGGTTTTCTAGAGGGATGTCCTGAGGTGTTTTGCATTATTTGTAGATAGGGTGACAATGCCGGGGAATCCCAAAAATGCGACTGGCAGTCTTGATCAAGAGTTTCCGGGTAGTGAACAACCCCCATGAAGGCTTCTCAGGGTTTCCTTCGGATCCAGGTTGATCAAAATATGAGCCACGTCCTCAAAACCGATTCGGGTAGATGAAGGTAAGTAAAGGACAATCCCCTTGCCATAAATAGCGGATATCCACCTTCTTAATTCTGAAGCATGGTTCTGGGTAGACCATTTTAATACTGGGGTTTTGATTATGACTCATATCACTTTCGCAGCTGCACCAAGTTGCGTGTGTGAGAGCTGAGCCGAGACTCGGCTAGCATTTGGCTCCCAGATTGGGGTCAGAGGCAGCATGCTCTTGCCGAGAAGGACAACTGCCTGCGTCAAGCAGTCCCAGCTGAGCCCGTGACTGTCTTTCCATACCATCTAGGTCCCCCAGTAGTGCCCTTTTACCCTTTTTTGGGGGAGGGTTCCCCTACTAAAATAGTCTACAGGAAGAAGGGTACCCTTATTCTGACCTCTCTACTGGAAAACCTAGCCATTGTGCCTAGCTGAGCTGAGACTTGACTTGATGTATGCACTTCGGTCTCGGCAGATCGCTTAGTAAATGTCATGAGAATGATCTTGGATTCTGCGAAGAAAGGCTCCGCATGTGTGTGCGAAAGGTGGCTTGTTTGAAGATTTGGTTGCTTCCGGCATGGAAGTTGCAGCATCGTCCTTCAAGACATTGCTTGCCCTTTTTGGGAGGTTACCCCAAGAAGACTAAGCATGCCAAGCAAGCCATGCGGGCGGAAGGGTGTAGTTGGCAAGATATGTGCAATTGGCTTATTTTTCAGCAGATGGCGCTTTCAAGTGTATTGATCCTACGACGTCCTACAGGTCCTACGATGACCAATGCTTTTGAGGACAAATGGGTATGGGTCAAAATTCAACCACCAGGGACCACTGGTTTGAGTCTATGTGTCCATTTACCAGGGTTCCATTTTGGGTCCTATTTTTGACCCACAGCCAAATGTTGCTTTTTGCTGCATTGGGTTCAAACCCATACCCACACGCGCACACAAACCCTTGCCTCGATTGGTGCGACTGGAGAATCGGAGCTCCCGGTTGTACGGCTCCGTAGCTCCCGTCAAAGAGACGTTGATTGAGACGTTGCGACAATCCATTTGCCCGAAATTTCTGGGCGAGCCAGGGTGAAGGGACGTGAGGGGTTTTTAGATCAGGATGGGTTTTTAGACCGCTGCCAGGTTGGAGCCACAATCAAAACCGATTCGGGTAGACAAAGGTTAGTAAGGTGCAGTCCCAGCCGGAAGTAGTTGCGGCCGCCTTTCTAACTCTTCACATGGTTCTGGGTTCACCATTTTTGTACCGATGGGTTTTGATTGTGACTCAATTGGCGATTTGCAGGTTGTCTGAATCGTTCACCAGATCTTGTTGGTGCGCCTAGGTGTGGCTTGGGTTAGGGTTCGGTGGGCCATATCGATGGGATCGTGGCTGAACACCTTGCCCCTCTGTCACCTTGGCGTACCACTTGGCAAGCCGGTTTTGGGTCAAGCGAGTTTTGGGAGGGTTTTGGGTTTGTCTCTAGTTTCCAACTAAGGTTTCCCTTGAAAACCCGTCTCTACCTGGAGTCCTCCTTCGACCATGGGATCACGGCCCAGATGTTTTTTGGGCAATGACCGAGGAGACTCCAGGTGGAGAAAAGAAGCGAACCGGCGCCACGGTTTGCATTTGGTTTTCCTCGAAACCCCAACGCTCGGGTGCCCAACCTACGGCCTACAGCCCGAGGTCCCTGGCAACGGCGTGTGCCTTGCAGAGTACTGCGAGATCTTCGACGCCTGTCAGGGGGAGGCACGAGAATCGGACATCGAAGGGGGAAGGGGCGGGGGGTTCCCAGGTTTCCCTTCAAACTGAATAAATTTGGGGAGTCTGATTGCTGAGGTTCCGAAAAAAGTCAACCCCAACGCCCCGGGAAGAACCCTAGTCAGAATTGGTTCTCAACCTGGGGTTGATTTTGGAAGGGGGCCAGGTGACGTTGATCAAACAATGAAGAGACACTTTGGTTCCTGGACCCAAAAACTCCACGGATTTCGCCCCCTGCTGACTGATTTGCGTTTGCGTTTGCGGCGATTTGCGTTTCTTTGCGCTGAAAGCTGGCACAAAAACCGTACTTAGAAATGTCTAGTCGTTTGAAAGGGTTTCGGCCATTCCCAGAATATTGCAAGTACGCAATCATGGATAGCATGGGCTGCAAATCCGCTGTTTCTAAAGAGTTCGAGAGGCTGACGGTAGTCAAACTCAGTGAGGTGGATCTGAGATTTCTGTTCACGAACGAAGCTGCTATCGCTTTCAATTGCAGCTTCTATTGAGCGGCTCAACGCAGCTGCCCCAGCGAACAGCTGCCATTTCCGAGTCAAGCGCATGCCCAAGTAACAGACGGTAGCCCCCATGCTTTGAAGGTGTCGAGATCCCCCTGCCCAGATGGGCGCTCGACGCCGTGACACCTCCAAAGTGCCCAGCTGTGACAACGCCGGGGCCTCAACTGGGAGCTCCGTCAGGAGTTTTCCTTTACGGAAAGGCCGCGAAAGGACGGATCTTGCGGTAGGAGGCCACTGGTTTCCTTTTGCTTTGCCTTTCACAACCCGACACAAGGGGTACTGTCACAACAAGCCACAATGACTGTTGAAGGCTGGGGGGTTGGCAAGCTGGTGACTCTTTTTTAGGGGATTCTGGTTAGATGCAGCTCAGAATGACGTGGCATTCAAGGGGGCTTTATTTGGGAGCAACTTCCCATGCACATACGTTTCGATGAATGAACCGGTGCCAAAAAGCGCCGATCTGGAAGTGCGTGCTGTGTTTTTGCCGCGATCAACGTGTCAGTCACATCCGTGCACCATTAACAGATCTCAAGGCCAAGAAAAGACACCCCCATACTGCATGAACCACTGTTATTGCCGTGGACATTTTCCAGCCAGGTACGGTAGATGCAAAATGTATTCCAGTTGCTTAAGAATACTGTTGATTTTCCCTTGTTGGTTTTAAAAGGATATTATCACTACTGGAAATATGTTTTCCAGGGGTCTTAACCAAATGGAATATTTTCATACAGCATGCACGTTTCGGGGCAACAAACAAATGCGGCGCTCTGGGTCAGTGCCGAGGGTCGTTAAGACAGCCAAGCCTTCCTTGGGCCTGAGTGAAGGCTCCAAGAAACAGACGCTTTCTGAGAGCAACACGCCTTGCCTCACGGAGAAGACGCCAAACGACCAGAAAAAGGCGTTGGAAGCGAAGAAGCACCTTTGGAAGACTCCAACCGGTGAAGAGAAGTCCAGCCTTTTGGTTTCGCTTCGGCCCTTTTTGACCCCGGCTCTTGGGGAAGCCTTGGGCCCACAGGGACGGGACATCCAATGTGTCCTGAAAAACAGGGGTCCTTTGGGACGCAGCTTCAGATGGGTTCCCGCAGAAGCTGGTACCATTCCGAGCCCTGTCGCTTTCCCGGTGGCGACGCAGGTGTTGTTCTGGTTGCAGTTCTTTCCAGCTTGAAAGCTCGGTGGCTCGCTGGCCCACATCTAGTTGCCAGCGAGCCAGCTTGTGCTGATGTTGCTCCATATTAGTAAACCCCTGTTGATTAATATGGGGGTGCCCCTGGTTTTAGTGGGGATTCATCACTTTCAGAGAACATTAGCGCGAAGGGGTCAACATTAACGCGAA